TTCAGGGATATGTGCACAACAGTGCAAGACCGGAGCAAGCCAACACACACGTTCCCACTGGAGGTCAAACGGGGCGACACTCGCATACTGTAAACACACGTGCTCTTGGAGTACATTTAGTGTCACAGTTTTTGTTGATGATTTTGCTACATAAAACGGTCTCCAAGGGCAGTGCTGAAGTGGTGGCTGGTGTTCCCACGCACACGGAGCCAGTGATATGCCTCAGGGAGCATGGTGTTAGGTTAGGGAGCACGGTGTCAGGGAAGGTTCACTCAGACAAGCCACAGCGCTGCTGTTGCTGGGGTTTCGAGCTCTGAACCAACAACACGTAATAAGCAGGGTCTTCACACAGAAACAAGGTTCCCCACTGGTCACCGGATGAAAGGCTGAGCAGAGGCTAGCCCACACTCCCCCGAGGAGCGGCGGCTCACACTGCTTAGCAGCCACTGTAACTACCAATTCTGCCAGCTGTAAAGCGAGGACAGAGTGGCGGGCCTGGGCACGCTCTGGCCCATCTTCCTCAGAGCGCTCAGAAGGTACCTGTATCTACTTACTTATTTTTAGTTGAAGCCACTGTGATTTTAAGTTCTACAACAGTAGGGCTTTGAGAACTTTTGTTCATCTTATTCAGTGCTGTTTCCTCACGCCAAAGCTGTTCCAGGCACATCCCCAACTGAATGAAGACAGAAACCTCCCTATATGTAACTACGTAGACACTACAGGTGATGTGATACTTGTTACTTTCATTATGTTAAATCCAAAGTATTCAGCAGGGTGAATGTAGGCCTGGGACTGAACAGAATAAAAAAAAAAAAAAAATAGGGTAAGACGGCCATGTGGCCTCAACTGACTACCTCTGAGATCCGGAGAGTGGGTAGGGTCTGCTGGGGTGGGAGATTCACTGCTCGGCCAGAGTCTGGCAGGTCTGGAGTCGGGGAGGGAGGCTGTTCTGCAGGACTACTGCTGCTCTGTGGCTCACTCTTCCCGGGTGGAAGCCAACAGGTACACGGCAGACCAGAGTAGGGATGGAGTCTCTGGAGGCCAAGCTCAGGGTGAGCCACGCACGGTGTACAAACACTGACATGAGCAGGGACAGAACGCTATGCAAGTCAGACTGCTGGAGACCAACAGGCCCAGGGCAGACACTCTGCGGCTGCAGCGCAGCGGGCAAGGTGGGACCGGCCGAGACACCTGCAGCTCAGCCAGCACAGTGGCCAGGGCTCTCTTCTTATAAACATACGAAAGACCATGACACTCTGTCCCCCACACCAACGCCCCCTGTAACAGACAAGACCTCAGTACAAAGAGGCAGGACCCCGGAACTGTTCACTGCCGTTCCAAGTCGAACTTCAGCAAAAAGCAGATTTCAAGATTAAAACACAACAGTCATACCAGCATTCAAACTTAACCTTCAAAGTAAAATAAAGAGGATCTAAGCGCCATGAGCTGAGAGTTCCATTCCCCACGACACCCTGTTCTCCTGGGTACTTATGAGAACAGACTGCAAAGCAACTCAACTCATGTTCCAAAATGCAGCACACAGCCTCAACAGGGCATGCTGACCGCAGCAGCCCTCCTCTCCCGGCTCCTCTTCACTGATTCATATTTTGCTAGCAAGGTTACAATTAGCTCACCGGTGGAGAATAAACCTATTTATAACACGGCAGTCCCCCGACAGGCACAATCAACTAACAGGGTTCCTGGGGGAGAATGAGGTACAGCTTCTCCCCCTGCGGCCTGCACGCAGCCAAGGTCCTTCTGGATGGAGTTCTCTGTCTAACCTTCCTGTGTTCAGTCACCATTCTGGCCACCTCAGCCTCCATGTTCTTATGTAACATTTACATACACCCATAAACACACCCAGAGTTGCATAACGTTGCCAGCCAATAAAGCCTAAAGCAGGTCACTCCCCAGGTATGCCGCCTGGTGAGGAAAAAGCCTGCCAAAGGCAGAAGTTAACTGCAGGAAATCTGAACCCTGGCTACCAAAAAGCAAAATCAGAAGTGAGCCACACTTGCCATGTGGTGCGTCTATCAATCAAGCTATGTTATTCTGCCCCATATAATAAAAAGTAACCCAACATCGCTTATTCACTGAAGTCAGAAACTGTGTCTAAAAATACCTCCCTGCCAACTGGCTATCAGTAAGTCAGCCTCACAACCGTCCCAATAGCAGCACTCACAGCATTTTCTCTTCTCCAGAGGGAAAATCGAGGCAGTAACAGGTTAAGTTACTTGCTCAAGGACAACCTGTAAGGAAACAAAGTTCCCCGAGCACCAGCCTCCTCCCCCATCTGGCGCTAACCTTTAACCAGAGTAGCCATTTTAGTGTGCTTTATCACATCTGCCCCGGGAGCTGTCTGAACAAACTAAGCAGAGCCCCCCACCCCCTCCACACAGCTCACTTCCACCGTCTTCGGGTCCCGGCCCACTCAGCAAAGCTACAAGGCTGGGATTGAGATTACACTTCCAGGCAGTTCACAGAAAAGCACAGTGTTCTATCAGAACCTCAAATGCCTCTCTTGCTGCTTTTGTCTTTAAAAAATGAATGTCATGTTCTCCTGCTACTAAATTTTACATTTTATAACATTAATGTGAACACTCTTAAGAGAGGTCTTAAAGCACATACCCTATCAAATGGCTGCTGTTTCTGGGGTGGAAATCATTCTCCCGTTGCTGGCTTTTTACTCAGCGCAGTCTCATTACTCAACAGACCCTATCTGCTGCTGCCCTCACATGGTGTCCATTCGCACGCCAGGCATGAGGGCTGCCCAGCTCTGTCCCTTCCCAGCCCACACAGAGGAGCACTGTATAGGAAATGCAGGGAGGGAAAAATCAACTTCTTGTTACCCAGCCTCTACTTTCCCAGAAGTGACGCCTTGCTTTAAGCCTTTTGCAACAGTGGTCTCTGTAGCACACACTATTGGCAACTAGATGTGTCCCGGAAAAAACTGCAGTGTCTGGCCAACAAGTTTAAAGGCCTTGGAGAATGTTTGCTAGACACACAACTGAATTTCCCACTTGCCAAAAAAAGAACCTCACTCCCTGTTATACCCCCACCCCACCCCAACAAACACCCATTTTAGGGAGGGTGCAAAGCACAGCAACAAGCTGTGCCCTACTGCACTCAGAACCAGCTGGATCACCGGCTAAACATGCTTAACTAGATTAGCAACAGGAGCACCCACAGGCAGACACAGGGAATCAGCAGGAACTGACTGCTTCAAAAATCTTCGAGACGGTGGGCAGGGTATGAATTCCACTGGAGGGGCTTAAAGATTTATTTATACACAACAGGACAGACCTGAAGACGGAGTCTCCTGATCTTTACTCTCCTACCAGGGGACTGGCGCTGTCACATTCCAAAAGCATGGCCCATAAGGCCCAACAAACATTCTCGTTTATGAAAATCTTCCTCTCCCCAAACGCGGGCTCTGCTCACACAGCCCAGCTCATTTATCAGGGCCCACAGCTACCTGTGACAGCAGCAACACGGGGAGCGCGGCACAGCGCCCACCAGGAGCGGCAGCCACTGAACAAAGGCTCCACCGCTGAGGAGGGGGGGTGGGTAATGAACTTGTTTCTGAGACAACCAAGGTAGCCTGATGCCTTCCACCGAGGGTCTGCATTACTGAACCAAGACCCACCCGAGAGAGAGAGAGAGAGAGAGAGAGAGAGAGAGAGCAGAGAAGAGACACACACACACACACACACACACACACACACACGATCTCACGTTGCTGGAAGGGGAGGGCAACTAAGAAGCCAAAGCAGCAGGCTTTGTACAATGGGAGCAGCAAATCCAATCCTAATTGTCTCACCATATCCATCTGTGGGTCAATACTCACTGCGATGCAAATGCCAAATATAACCTTCATCTGCAACCCCAACGCCAAAACACACTCGAGAACACTATCAAATGAAATGTCTTAGGGTTTCGTGTGCCCTTCCCAGCCTAAAACGCCTCATAAACAACACGGCCAGAGTGTCCCACAGAACCTCCACCTCTGTGGTGGGAAAGGTGGGGGTGGGCCTGGCCAGCGAAAGGCCCTGAGGGTTGGAAGGTAAGGGAGGGGTGTAGGAAGGGTGCTGGCAGGAGGGACGGTGTGCCACGGCAAAAGTACTGACCAAGGGCCTGGGAGCCAGAGCGATGCGGGGTCTTTAAATAATTGCGGGGTGGGGGCGGGGGTGGAAGCATGTTCCAGGATTTCACCTGAAAGCATCCTCATTGACTGACTGGATGGGCCCCCTGGGGCGGGGTGGGGGAGGCGAGGAGGAAAGCAAATACAAATGCACCCAGCTTCAGGTAACAGCTGGGGAGCCAGGTCTTCAGGGTTGGAGCGCTTCTGAAGCCAGGCTCCGAAGAGGTTTAGGGGCCTGCTCGCCCCATTTCCTCCAAACAGCTTCTACAGGCATGGATATCCGAGAAGGGGGGTGCCCTGCAGAACCCGAGGGGCTGAGCGAGGGAAGGGGAAATGTGACTCCGGCGCCGAGAACATCAGGGTGGCAGGCGAGGGAGAGGAGGGGTACCCCAAGCTGAAGGGAAGGTTGGAGACCCCTACCCTCGTAGCCTAGGGTAGGAATGGGCTCTGGGCAACAGAACCCCTCGGAGAAACAAGCCCCCGTCGTCGAACCCCGCAATCTTGGCGGGAGAAAAGGCGCCCCCAGGAGCATCTGCCGGCGGGGAATAACCCCCCTCGCACGGACGCGCTGAAGGGCAGGAGCCGGGGACCTCCACATCTCGAGGAAGCCTGGGCTCCGAGCGCAGGGAGCCGAGGGGGCTGGAAGCGCGAGCCCCCGGGCGCCCCGGCCGGGCTCCGCCTGGTAGCGCGCGCGGGGACCCCAGGCCTGACCCTCCGCCACCCCGGCCCTCCGCGCCCCCCGCCCGGCCATATTGCGCGGCTGGGGAGGGGGCGCGCCCGAGCCCCGCGGCCGGCGCGAGGCCTCGCCCGGCCCTCGGCATCCCGCGCCGCCCCGCTTCCCCCCCGGCCCGGGACTCACCCTGGATCCCCCGGGGCCCGGCCCCGCCGCTGCCGGCTAGCAGGAGGACAACAAGGGGGAAGAAGGAGGAGGCTCCGGCCGACTCCGCC